TTTTTTTGTTTTTTTAATTTTTTTTTTTAATTCCACTGCTTACTCGTGTGATTGCTTGGAGGGGTTTAAAGTGCATTGACCACCAATGATGGGAGGGGGGTGGTTAAATGGCAGTGAACACCAATAATTGTGGGACTGTTTTGGAGGTTGCAGGAGTATAAAGTGTTTTGAATTTATCCATGACATCTAGCCATTGCACACTGCAATTTTATCCTCTAGGAAACATTCTTCCACTATTGGGAGACTTGCACTTGCCTTTATAGGGTGAATTTTAAAGGACGAGCACACCTTATTTTACCAGCAAGTTTCTTCATTTCCAAAAATTGTTGAAAAAAGTAAAACCTTGGGGTGTCCACTTTCCTGGCATTTTTATTTGATATGTTTTATAACAGAGTACGGCAAGCTTTTTCTTTTGTTAAATATTGAGTATTTTTTTTCCTTTTTATATAGTAAAAAAGCCAGAAAACCAGTGGTTGTTAAATACCACCAAAGGAAAGCTCTATCTCAAAAAATAATATAAAATCTATTTGTTTACATTATAGCAAGATCGAGTAATTGTTGGTGAATCTATCACAGCACTGAAAATTGAAAAATGGCCTGGAAAGGAAGGGGGTGTAACATGCTGGTCCTCAAGTGGTAAAAGGCAATACAGGTATTCCTCACTTAACGACCGAGTTCCGTTCCTACGACCAGGTCGTTAAACGAGAAACTCTATACAGTACTGTACTGCATTAGTACAGTACTGTATAGCGTTGCCGATGTACAGTACCGAACAGTGTACTGTACATCTGGCAATGAAAATACTTACCGGGACCCGCAGTGAAGATCGGAGGACACCGCTTACGCCGGCGACACGGCGCACTGATGTTGACGCGCAAGGTCGGAGGTCGATCGGCGGGCCGTCGTAAGTGCGAGTGGTCGGAAAACAGGTAAGTCGGTAACCGAGGAACATCTGTACTGCAAAACCTGGTCTTGTCCTGAAGTGGTTACAGGAGGCTTCTGTACAGCATGTAAGCTTAAGGTCTTCTTGCTGGGCGAGGCACTGCCGGAGGAATGCTCTTCTGTCAGAAAGCTGGCTGTTATAAAAGAAAATCACGCAACAAATCCACTGCTGCTTTACTGTTAAAAATCCATTTTATTTTTTGGTTTGCAGGCAAGCTCCAACAAACTTAGTACAGGTATGTCACTGCAACAGTAGTATTCATCATTTTACATAGTTTTATGTAAAGAAGTATTGTGAAACAGTGCACATACAGGCAAAACATAAATCTTATTTAAAGAGTAACTGAACAATAAAAAACAAGACTCCAATCAGTATCAGGCAGCTTTGGCTGCCTTGCAAACATTATGTAAATCTATAATTCCCTTAAAAACAGGTTTGTTGCGCTGCATGCAATGTTACATCATCGCCTAGACTGCTCCCATTATGTGCACGTCTACAAGATACAGATACATGGACAGAGTCTGCCTAAGTTTGGTTCATAGAAAGCAATGATCAGTCTGAGGCAAACTCTACCTACTTATCTGAAAACTAGTGAGCACAGCAGGGAACTTTATAGGAGCAGCTTGGGGGAAGAATGTAAATACTGCAAACAGGTCTGGCTACTTAACCCTAGTTAAGTAAGAATCTATTTGAGGATTGTTTGCAAGGCATACAAAAGGCTGCCCAATGGGGACTGAGGGATCTGTTTTTCTATTTTATTGTAGTTACCTGTAATGCATATGTGACATTTTGTTTTCATTTGCTACAATTGTTAATGTACAAATTAGGCTTAGTGTTTAAATACTTTACATTGTTTTTTACATTTGTCCATGTTCTACAGTGTAAACAAACAAGCAATCTACATACAGTTCATTGCTACAAGTGGTACACCAAACCTTTATCCATATTGAGACAATACGCAGTGCTCCAAACTGGTAAACAGTCTCTGATCAATAGAAGTCTTCCTAGGTGACTGTCATGAAAGAAGCACAAGCTGGTGAAGTCCACAGTGTGAAGTGGGAGCTAATGCCGGCATGCTTTTGTCTGTCAGAGTTCAGATCATAAGTGCCCAGATCATAAGTGCCATCAGTTGTGTGGCACTGAATTGATCCTTGCCTGGGCAGTGAAGGATGGCACTAAAATGTTATATTATTTATGTTTTGTAATACTCATTACTTGTACCGTGTAAATCTAACATTACAGTAGTATTAAACGCTTAATCTTTTTAAAACAATGAATCCATAATCAAACAAATATACATTGCCCAGCAAAGTATTTAAAATATTTGCCCAAAAACGCACACCGTTTCTGAAAAGCTAGCTCCAACTCTCTCAGCTCTGCTTCCCTGAACTTCCTGTCCAGTACAAGCTCACAAAGTACAGCAAAGACTCCTGCCGCTGTTCGTTTACTAGATTAAAGTGACATTAAACCCTCAGATTTTTTAACATAAACCAATACTGTAATGTGCGCCTTACTGTAATCCATGGTAGTTTCCCTTCTCTTTGCTGCTCTTCCTTTTAAATCTGTATCTGTTCTCATGCTGGGCAGAACTTCTGTTTTGCAGCAGACTGCCTTGTCTCAGGAATGGATATACGGTGTCTGTGTATTAGTTTCTATAGGCTTGTAACCTGAGCCAGCACTACAGGAAGAGGCCCTGAGCTGAAAAGGGAAGTTCTTCCCAAGCATGAGAAGACATGAGGATTTAAAAGGAAGAGCAGCAAAGAAAAGGGAAACTACCATGGATTACAGTAAGGCACACAATACAGTATTGGTTTATGTTAAAAAATCTGAGGGTTTAATGTCACTTTAAGGAAGAGAGGAAGGAGGAGTTGTGATCAGGGAGCAGAGGAATGGCCCAACTTGCCATGCCTGTGTGTTTGTATAGGCACACATAGTTTACTAGTAGGGATGCACCGATGCCGATACTAGTAATCGGTGCCAATACCGACTATTTGGGCGAGTACTCTTACTCACCCAATTGCTCTGATGCCTAGCCCGCTACCCGAACTTCCGGTATTAGGAAGCCGGGCAGCGAGTCATCACATGCTGCCTGGCTTCCTGATTGGCTGGGAAGCCGGCTCCATGCTCCCTCGACACTTGGTGATGAGGGAGCATGAAACCGGCTTTCCGGCCAATCTGGAAGCCGGGCAGCGTGTAATTACTCGCCGCCTAGCTTTCTGATTGGTCAGGAAGCCGGACAGCGAGCTTCCTGATTGGGGGGTAATGACGTGCCTCCTGGCTTCCTGATTGGCCAGCTTCTCGACCAATCAGGAAACCGGTCAGCGAGTCATTATCCACCCTCCTCGTCTCCTAGTGAGGAGGAAGCATGGAGACGGCTTCCCTGCTAATCGGAAAGCCGGGTGGCGAGTCTTTAGACGCCGCTGGCCTCCAGGCTAATCAGGAAGCCAGGTGACGTGTAATGACACGCTACCTGGCTTCCTTAAATGGGATTTTCGGTATTTGATATCGGCAAGTACCAAAAAATATATATTTGGTACTCGATATCGTCATCGCTGCATCCCTACTTACTAGCACACACACACAAGGGTGGCTCCATAGAAACCTTGCAAAGGAAAGGCGCCCCCCTAAAACAGGATATCAGGGCCAGTGCTCAGGAGACCTGCTGATTCTGCAGTAAACCAAACTATAAACATCAAGGAGCAGCATCCATTGTATGTGATTTATACAGAATTTGAAATAGCTTCAACCATTTTGACTATAAAAATCAGTTGAATTGAATTTAGCAATAATGCAATCTTAGTTCTGGATATAGTCAAAAAGAGTTATAACTTTGGTCAGGTTTTTATTGCTTTTTATGTCCTTGTTGGGCAGTTTCTCCCTTACTTTCTGTTCAGTTGACAGAATGTGAGGGGAGAAGCCAAAAAGCTAACAGCAGTAATGGTAAACGGAGGGCAAAGTGAAATCTGTTTGGGCAGTTGTCCTCTAACTTCCTATTGTGTCTCGAGGACGGAAAGGGAGGGAAAATCTCCACAAGGGGCAAACAATAGCAAGAAAAACTGGATGTAACCCATCCCCAATCTTTCCATACAGGAACAATTTGGCTTCTCCTTTAGTAGTCTTTTCCATCAAAGGAAGTGTTTGTGAACCCATAACACAGAGTGACATACATTTCCTATACAAGGTGGCAACACAGTTGAAGAAAAAGGTTCAGTTATGAATCTGGTGAAGTAGGTGAGACATTTCAAATTTACGTGACATGCAGTCCGCAACTGGAAGTGGTAGTTATTGTGCCCAGCTTTCACTCAGATGTTGAATAGGGGGTTATATTTCCGGATTTCTTGGAGGAGTCTCTCCTCTTGTTGTTTCTGTTGTTCAAGTTTTGCCCGAGCAGCTAGTAATTCTTGCTGGAGGTCCTGCACATTAGAAACACTATTAGAGTGACTGGACCACTTAGAAGACTGGTAACAAAAAAAGTGGATGAAAGAAGTGTGTTTTACGGGAACAAACCATCCAAACTATTTATAGCAAGCAAGGGAAGTATACACAGCTGGGCTCACAGGAAAGAGGCAGAATCACAGAGCACTGCCTACACTAAACACAGGAAGTCAGGGACAGCACCGGAGCATGGAAGCGGTAAGTTCAGATCACTCCCTTTTTTTTTTTTTATGGTGGAGATGAAGGTGAACATCATAAAAAACAAACAAACAATTATTGCATTCTATTTTAAAATAGTGCCAATATTTAGGATTTATTGCAGACAAACGATGAATTCTGATTTGAATGGATTTACCCTGTATAATGTTTACCTGCTAAGTATACTATATAAACTTGTGATGTGTCCCTGTACTTATGAGAGGGTGCAGTGCTACTCCTTTGCTCATCTCACCTCTATACTTTTAGGTAAAGCTTCTGAACTGTTGCTGATATGTACAAAAGAAGGATGTGTATCTCTGGATACAGGATCTGGAGATTCTTCACCTGAAAAGATCATTACATGTAAAAAGAATTTTTCAAACAACCATACTATTCTGTTTTACAGGTTTCCCAGAACAGATTCTGCTCTTAAATGCAACTTTCACACCTTTATATCCCTAAAGCTGGCCATACACCTATAGATGATCTGCAGATTTTCTATAGTCAGATGGAAAAAGTGCAACAGATTCCTCCATCTACGCTAAACTGTGAGGATGGAGGAATCTCCCACTGGGCCAAGCTTCAGTATCTTGCTAGTTGGCCCTGCTGGCTCTCAATGCCTGCATCCAATCAGATTGTTCAGGTATTTTGAAAGCCAGCGAGGCCAATTAGCAAGATACTGAAGCTTGGCCCAGTGGGAGATTCCTCCATCCACACAGTTTAGTGTAGATGGAGGAATCTGTGGCATTTTTTTCCATGTGACCATAGAAAATCTGCAGATAATCTATAGGTGTATAATCCTATTTTTTTTTCCCCCATTGAGGGACAAAGGAAGACTTTACCTTTGGGACACCCAAAAGCAGTCCAACACAGGAAACAAATGCTAAAGGGCTCAAGAAAACAAGCAGAGAACTGGGGACCGTCTGCAGCTCAAAGCCCGCCTAAAGATGAGGCTGAAACATCCACCTGTTGGAACCTAGAAAATGTGTGGGGAAAAAAAAAGACCCAGGAGGCAGTCTTGCTCGATGCTGAAAAGCCCAAGAAGGGCTCAAAGATCTGGTAAAAAATGCCTTGGCAGGAAAGGGTGGAACCTGATCAAGGTCGAGGTGAAAAGTAAAAACTACCTTAGGCAAAAAAGGAAGTAGGGGTTCCTTTCAAAATGGCTGAAAAACCTTCATAATTTAAAAAAAATGACAGTAACCCATCTTCCCTCCTTTTGTTTCTAGAATAAACATTTCAGTATTGCAGGTACTCTTTAAAAATATCTGCACACAAGTATAAATACAACAATATTGTAACCACTAGTGTTTCACTAAATACCTGTTACACCCATGTGCATCTTTGCCTTGTACTAAAATAAAATCATATACAATCAAAGTATTCAGTAAAGTCCTTACCTATAAGGCAGAAAACTCCATCCTCTTTACGCTGTACTTTGAGGTTGTTCAAAGAAAAGGCAACTGGCTCAGGTGAGATTGGAGAGGGGTAAAGACGTGGCCCATCATCCTGTTAAACAATAAGATAAAATATGATTTTGAATGTGTAAGTGTGCCATGCACTTTACCACACTATTTGTTTACCATTTTTACAGTTGTCCCTTTCTGTGCAGTCATGGTAAATAATTCAGACGTAAATGAAATGGTAGCCCAAGTACACCAGTAAGATAATTGGGCTAATTAGAAGTATAGCAAATGACTTTTGGATGACTAAAATAAAGAATACCTGATGATTTTTTTTAATGGATATTTTTAACTGCAACGTGCCATAACAATAACCCCCCAATCTCATACCAAAACAAACACCCCCCCCCCCCCCCCCCCAAATGGGATTTTTGTACTTGCCATAAAATCCTTTTCTTGGGAGTCCGTTGAGGGGCACAGGAAGACACCTTCGGGTTATATTAAAATTAGGGTGGTTTTAACAGCAGACCTAAAGAAAAGATGTCCATCCTCATAGAACTCTAGCAAAAAACTAAAGCTTGCTGGTAGTGGAAGGGGTTATCCTAGGCTTGCCTATGATTTCCTTGTTTGCCAGTGTCAAGTCCTTCTGTAGGCAGCAGTATAGCCCAATGGTGAAATACTTCCTGTGTTCCTCAATAGAGAAATGGCCCTTTCACACCAGATGCATTAGGCTGTGTTGGTTACAATGTGATGTGTAAGTTCAAAGTCATACTGTAGTAAGTTGAATAGGTTAGCTGTGCAGATTTCAATATAAAGCATTAATAGTTACAAATTTTATAGCAAATCGAAAATAAATTGATACGATGCGGACTTCATGCAAAATTGTAATTGGTGTCCATTTGAAAAAGGTTCTCGGACATAATAGCGGATCAAAATGTGGCAGCAAGTATGAATAAGAGCCCGCACACTGTGCCCAATGCATGCACAGTGATGTATACTGTGCCCACAATTGTGCATTTTTTTTTTGCTTCTCCTGCTGCTCTTAATGTTTCTGCCTCTTTCATGGTTATATCAAAATGGCAGCAAGATCCAGCATGTGCGTGGTAGTGTACTTCTACTCGTGCATGTGCAGGATCTTGCTGCCATTATTCTAAATCACCATATGGCAGTGAGATCCCACGTGTGCACAGTAGTGTACTGCCACCTCCACACATGTGCAGGATCTCGCCACCACATTTCTAAAATCCCAATATATCATATTCTATATTATTACTGAGCAGGGCCCTCCTTACCATCTTGTATTGAATTGTATTGTGATTGTAATGTCTTCCTTATATTGTAAAGCGCTGCGCTATATAAATCCTGTATAATAATAATAATGGTTTTGGGCACAGTGTTTCTTAATTGGTAGCGGGAAATACAAGCACGAGAGGTGCACAGTATGAGGCCGCAAATATGGTTTCTGAAATTGGCAAATTTGTGGATATGCGGGCCACGTTTTAGCCAGTAAAATGATTACTAGATTACTAGATTATGCCATTTTGTTGATCAATGTTAAGTATTTAAAATAATGCATGGAATTAAGAACAAATAATTACATTTTCACATAACACAAGTTAAGCAATTGGTAATTATTTTAATACTGAGAATATGACAATTGAAGTAAATATGTGATTGGTTTAATATGTTACACCACTGATTGTTGATAAGAGTGATTTCAAAACTGGTAGATGAAATAAGATTACAGTTATAACATGTTTGCCCTCTATCACATTTACATGTATAAATGCCAATAAACACTGACTGCACATCTAACAATGGTCCACAATAAACAATTGTCTTTGCTGGCATGTTTAAATGTAATAGCACGTATGAGAGGTAATGGTGTATGTATCAAATATTTTGAAATTGACGCATTTAATATTTTTTTTATCAAATAGTTATTATTTTTATACATAATTTTTCTTGTTGTTTGGCACCCTGAAAGTCCCATCCATATAGTTTTTTTTAATAAAGAGAGATACAGTATGCTTATTCTAATGTCAAAAATAATAATATTTGGTGGACATCCAGAAATACACTTCAAGTTATAAAAAAAAAAAGAGCAAGAGCTGACCAAATATATGCTTGCCTAAAATCATCAATGTTAAGGAAATACAGTATGTCGGGGCTCAAAGAATTGCAGTTGCCAGGTCTACTTAACGACTAGAAATTGCGTCCTGGCTTTTGTCAGCTGCTGCGGCCGCTTCAGCTCTGCTCCCCCCACTGGAAGCCCGCTACATACTACTATCATAACAAAAGCTTGCACATTCTACATACTCACATGGAGCGTGATCTTGCTGTTGTTGACCTGTATGATCATGGGTAGTATCTCAGGAATCTTCTCATCCTCTAGGAATGGTCCTAGGTGGGTTAGTGCAGAAACTGGTATCGTAGAGCAAAAATCCTGAATCAGCAATTGTAGAAATCCATTACGTACAGCAAGTGGGGAGAAGGAGGCTGCAGTTGGGCCGAGATCAAAGTACAGTGTGACACGAGGAGTAGACATGGAAGCAGGAGGAGTGCCAGGAATACTTGCTACCAGGCCTGGTAGAGGAGAGAATAGAAGTTATGATTATTTATTAGTAATATGTGTACTACTGTACAGGTAATACTGTAGGACAAGATTCAACCTATATAAATACACCCAAAACATTTGTGAACTTTTGTTGTTGTATTAATGATAACATTCCAATGAAATTCTAAAAGTCCAATTCCAGAGTAGCCCCGCTTCCCCCAGGTCATGCAGTCTTCCATGCGCCCCTAGAGATATACTTCAAAATACAGAAACCTTGCAAACCCAGATGTTACCTTGATAAAGTAGCAGTGACATCATTGTCTATTGGTATAGCTTGTGCAGGGAGCAGAGCTGTGGAAGCAACCCAGCAAGTCAACCCACCACAGGCTGCTTGCAGAAAACTACAGGAGGGGGCAGATACTAGAGCAGTCAGCCTGCATGAGGAGAGAGAGCAGGACTGACTGATCTTCAATACAGTTAAAGCATATCTCTGAGAAAGATAAAAACTCCCATTGTTATCCCCTTCTGCAGTCTTCCGGATACTATGTGGCCCGCAGCCAGCTGACATGTATTCCATATTTCCTATTCCGAATTCCATATTCTTTTCTGAATTCCCTATTGCGAATTCCATATTCGAGTACAGCGCTCCGGTGTCACTGCTCACATAGCAGAACGGACGTTCTCCGCTCTGCTCTTTGCTCTCCATCCCGAATGCTTTGCCGTGGTCCCAGGTTTCCCAGAAGAGGGGGGGGAGCCTGAAAACCATGGCAGGGAGGGGGCGAAGCAAGGGGGAGGGAATAACAGCCTGAAGTTAATAAAACATTTAAGGCGCCAGCATCTGCGCATTTTCACAAGTACTCATGAAAATGCCCTGTATTGGCCCCGATGTCGATACCAGCATCAGTAGCGGGACATCCCTAGTGGAATCTGATCCTTGAGACCATAAGCTTGAAAGATGGTCTGTCTGAGCCAACTAGTAAAGGTAGAACGAATAGCTGGTGCACCCTTACCATTTGTGATAACAAAGAGGGAATCAGTCTTTCTGAAAGAAAACAGACACTTACAGCCCAAACCACTTCCATACAAATGGAGGGAGCTTTTCTTTTGGTGAACTGGAGCCAGAAAGAGGAACAAAAGAATGATGTCCTGCTTCAGAAGAAGTCCTAGGCTTCAACACCACCTTGCTCCTATGCAAAACCAGAAGAGGATAAGGCCACCAGTTTAGATGCTTGCCTCACAGAGGTGATAACGACAAGGAATACCACCTTGTAGGCGAGGGTAGAAAAAGGAATGTCTGTAATGGCCTCAAAAGATGGCTTCTGAAGAACAGAGAGAACCAGAATTAGATAACACACAGACACGGGGGACTGATTTGGAGGAGCTACAAGGGAGACACCCTGTACAAAGGTCCTAAAGAATGAGAGGCCGGTGTCTCTCAAAACCTGAACTTCAACAGCTATACCATTAAGTTCAGCGGCTGTGAAGTAGGATAGTAAATGAGTTCTTGAGACAGAAGAGCCCAGATGTCTTACAGGTCAGAGTACAACTGCCCGAGCCAATCCAAAGCAAGATTACTGATTATTGATCCTGTGGAACAGTTGACAAAGGGATCCTAGGGTCAGATGGACAAAGACTGGAGCTCTGCATGGCTCTTTACAAAGCAGCAGCAGGAATATGCTTTCCTAAAGCTGAATGGATGGAAAGCACCAAGCGATAAGTCCCTTAGCATTAACCCCTTCTGCATTAAAACTATCAGAGAGCAGGAAATTCAAAGGTGCCCAATGGCACAAACAATAAGGTAGCCCCTGTTGCTTAGCCTGACCAGACTACTCACTGAGTCCTCAGACACAGAGCAAGCACAGAGCAAGGCTCTGGACCTGGAAAGTACTCTGCGGCTAACTTGCTACCAGAATGGAGTTCTGGAAAATGCTTTAGGAGGAACCCTGTGCCAGAAGGTCACTTCCAGGCTAGCCTCGCAATATTTGGTCTAGCAGGTTTTTGTACGACACTCCAAAACTTGGCTGAGGAGAGGCTGATCTGGATAGCTGCTATTGTAGAGACCTGCACAAGCAGCAATGTCAAAGAATCTTGATTGGAGAAAAAGTAAAAATTGCAAGCAAAAATATGGTAAGGATTTCCCAGCAGAGCTGAAGAAAAGATGTCCTTTCTCCTTGAACACTGGCAAAGAAAACTGAAGCATGCTGGGAGTAGGAGTGGATATCCTGGGATGGCCTAGAGTTTGTTTTTTGTTGCCTGTGTCCAGGCCCAGCATTAATAATATTCATAAACTGTACAATAAGAACTGAATGTTTTTCAGACTGAACATTTATATCCTGCAAAGAACATAGAGTAAAAAATTTACCACGCCCTTACCTTTCAGGTCTTCAGCCTTCTGTGCACAGCTGAGGTCCAAAGCTTGGACAGTAACAGAGACATCTTCTCCAAGTACGCGGGTCACAGAGGTGACATTGTGAAGGGCTAAAGTCAAAATCTGAAAAAAAAGGAATAAAAATAAAAAAACACAAACTAAATTTGATTTTTGGTTATGAAAAGAGACTTTCCTTTGCACTGGTATTTGTCATACGTCAGCGTAATTGAAGCTTTTCCCTATCATGATTGTAGACTCATTTACCTGATGTGGTTCAGGACCTTCTGTACTCTGAGAGGTGGTGTCCTGATCAGATAATGCCGTTTCTACATTAGCTGCCAATTCTAAATAAAAAAAAAAAGAAACATTAAAAGGATCGCCATTTTACTTTCTTACAACAATGCAATTATTACACATTCTTGTTTGGTTAAAAAGGAACTATTGTTTTCTCTAGTTTTGGGCATTTAACTTTACGGTTTTCCCAAGAAAAGAAATAGAGAGGAAATCCCCAAATTGAGACATCCATTCTGGTGTCAACTCTCTCACTTGGCAGAGATTTCCTCAATTTCTGTTGCGTCTCTGAGACAGAAAGTGAGAGGAAATCTTTCTAATGGGCACATGAACGGCAATCAAAAATAGAAACTTCTAATTCTTCCCAGAGATAGGCTGCTCACCCTTCAATATCACATGGGGAAGGGCAGGCAGCAGCAAATAGAAGGGATAATCCTACAGCCAGGGGAAAGGGCAGGCAGCAATAAAAAATGTAGTGCACAATCCTACAGCCATAGGCTGCCCGCTCTCCCCTAAATATTTTGTTTTGTTTCTAAAACTAAAACACAAAGGTTTTGACCGAGGTTTTGACCGTTACTTTGACGGTTACTTTGCTCTAACCAAAGGTTACTCTAACTACAACTCTGAATCAGTTTATGTTTACCTAGCCCAGGCCGTAAGCAGAGGCAACTTTCTAAAGTATCAATATAAGCAATAACTTATAAATCCTGTCGCTATCCTCCTCATAATGACCAAACGCTCAATTAAAAAACACCTCTCATGAGTTGCCCAGATGCACCCCAACAGCACCCCCACAGAGAAACCATATGAATCCTTATGCCCCTTGTGGCACTATGGTCTAACCTTTTCAGCAGGCATATATAATGATCAATTTAGGCATTACTTGACTCTACACACAACCTTTGTTTATTGTAACACCTGCTAAGATAAAAGATCATGCATTGTTTATTTACCTGCATCCAATTTAAGTAAGAAATTCTCAGTAGTTTCACTGTCTAGAGACAAAACATCAAACCCCTCTAATGAAACTGTGTCAAAAGACTGTGTGCGAGAAAGAGGTGAGCTCATCTGGTTATGGGTAGCATCCACGTCTCTGAAATAAAACAAACAGGAATACATATACTGTGCTAGAAAGACAGACATCTGTATATATACAGTGTATGAACTTGGCAAAATGCCGAAAGTGCCATGTTTCGGCCGATACATCGGCGCATCCCTGGTTTCTTTCCTCCCCGGTGGGCGCTGCTCTGTGTTCCAGCGGGTAGGAGAGAAAGTGACAGCCGGCCGAGCGCTGCGGGAGGAGAGCGCTGTGAGCGGCCAGTGTCTCTCCTCCCACACCGCTCAGCTGCCTATCACAGGCCGGCAGAACGGTGCCAGCGCTGTCACAGGAGGCTGAGCTCTCCTCCCACAGCGCTCAGCCGCCTATCACAGTCCGGCAGAGCGGTGTGTGGGGCGAAGACAGCCAGCGCTGTCACAGGAGGCTGAGCTCTCCTCCCACAGCGCTCAGCCGCCTATCACAGTCCGGCAGAGCGGTGTGTGGGGCGAAGACAGCCAGCGCTGTCACAGGAGGCTGAGCTCTCCTCCCACAGCGCTCAGCCGCCTATCACAGTCCGGCAGAGCGGTGTGTGGGGCGAAGACAGCCAGCGCTGTCACAGGAGGCTGAGCTCACCTCCCTGCTCCGCTCGATCAGCCTCCTGTGACGGCGTGTCAGAGAGGAGAGCGAGAACAAACACTCAGCGATCGCTGAGTGTTTGTAGATAATTGAGGACATGGTATGTTAACTATAGCCTCAATTATGAATGAATGGGAGTGATCTGCATCACCTCCTGTTCATTTGTAGTTGTAGTTATAGTAAACATACCATGTCCTCATGTTATCAATGAACAGGAACACTCATTCCTGTTCATTGATAACAGGGGATACAGAAAAAGAGAAAGAGGACTTTGTGGCCTAAATCTCTTTTTTCTATTTTAAAAGGGAAACATCAGGGGTCTGTTTAGACCCCCAATATTTCCCCGAAGCCCCTAAAAGCAATGTAAAAAATAAAAATATTTAATAAAAAAATGAGTTAATAAATATAAAAGAATTAAAAAGTTTATAAAAAATAAATAAGAATAAAATATTAAAAAGACTTAAAAAAATTAAAATAAAAAAACATTTACAAAATGTACAAAACAACAAAATACAAAATGTGTGAAAATCCAGCAAAGACAAGGAAATAGTACCAGGAGAAAGAAAAAGAGACAATAGTCTAGTGCAAAGTATAAAGAACTTGTGTAAATGTGGTAACTTAAAGTGAAGTATCACACACTTATGTTTAGTATCACCCAGAAGGCGCTGCATTCTTTCCTTCCCAAGGCTAAAATTTTCTCTAGTTAGACCCAATGTGTTAAGCAAAGTGTCACGTGCAAAATCCTTCCCCAAAAACAGATCAACAGAAAGTTCCTTTGCCTGTGTACTATCTTGAGCCACCACCTTATTTGGACTGTCTTTTACTGGCACTTCTACTTGTTCCGCCTTGATTTGTTCATCAGGCTGAGCAGGTATTCCTTGCTGCACAACAAACTCATCCTGAGGCTCCATTCCAAGAGGTATAGCCAAGACCTCATTTTTATTAACCAAAATTAACTTGTTCTTCTCTCTTTCACTTCCTGTGTCTCCATCTGTCAGTTCAAATCCATTAAGACTGCTCCTCTCAGAGTCCTCTGGCTGCACTAGGGAGTGGGAAGCAGGGAGCATAAGAGAAATAGTGACCACTGGAATCAGTAGACCAACAGAGATTGAAGTAGGGCAGAGAGAAGGCATTTCTGATGGTGAATGTGCCAGTTTTTGCAACCCTTCCAACAAGGCCTGCACCTGCTCCTGTAAACGTAGTAAGGTGAGGTAATGGTAGTGGTTCAGCTGCAATCGTACCATTTGATCCACACTGAACATAACCAGCAGTTGTCGTTCAGATAGTAAAATGCAGGCCCAGGCAGTAAATGGCATGGGGTGGAGGAGTATCTGGTGTTTGGGAACACCTCCCTCAAAACGCAAAGACAAGCCAGGGCTGTGTAAACTCCATAAGGATGTTGACGGGGGCTCAGAGGAAGGATACACATGAGACAAAAATGCAGGATGCAAAGGTCCTGGAGGATAATGAAAAGCTTCATGGGCAGCAAAGGACCGGAAGGTATTCTGAAGAAGGTCAATGCTTGATCCAGGTGCTTGACGTGTGTTTGTGAGGGTAACTGAGGTAAGATGAGCACATATTGAAGAAGGGCGTTCAGGTGGGCTGTTAGAAGGAGGTGGCACAGGAAAACTTAGCTGTAAGGTGAGAAAACAAAGTCAAATGGGAGAAAAAAAAAAAAAAGGACAAAAAAAAATTGACAGCAGAAGTAAGGCAAACCTTAAGGTTAAATCCATCCAGACGCACATCTCTGTGTTCTCTAGCTTCCTCGTTCACAATGGAAGTCACAGCAGCAAACTGCTGAAGATGATGCGATAGGTCTAACATAAAATAATTCAGCCACAGAACAGACTGGGCAGCAAGGTATACCAGGAGACCATGGAGCTGTATGTACAGAGCAGGAGGAGGCACTGCAAAGAGAAAGAATAAATGAACAAGAACAGAGGGCCCTATGGATGCTAAACAAAATAGCACAGGCCTAGTACTAGATAAATCATTATTAAAGCACCTGAAAGGCTGTCTCCTGGAAAGCGATAATACTCGGTGTATTGAAGATGCACAGCAGAGCAAGCACCAGGAATATGACCACATGAAATTAGCGGTGGTTTCTGTGGGCTCTGTCCAGAGGAAGATACCTTTAAAGAGTGAACAAAACAGTTATAAACCAATACAGAATTATTAACTAGACCTTGCTGCTTTCTTATGCCACCTTCCTACCTGATGAATGTCCATATCATCCACTCTTATCAGTACAGAACGGAGGTAAAGGGAAGAGGTAGATGATCCTGCACTGCCTGGGGGAAATAAATAACTACAGTTATTCATAGTGAAAAGGAAGACAAAATGGATAAAAAGAAACAGAGGATGCTGGGAGATGAAACCCAAAAGAAGCACATGCCTAGTTTTTATCAGCGGCTATGAAAACCATAAAAGATCCCATCCAGTAAAGGGCAAACATCTAGAATAATAATGCCAAACTTTGTCTCCTGGTTCGATATAAAAGACTATTGAGGTAAGGGTGAACAGACAAAAAAACTGTCCTTATGAACACAGTTCTCCTTATTTGCTCCCTTTTGGTCTGTTATAAAAAAAATAAGCATTAAAAGGCATTTCTTATATCTGTTTTAAAAAAAGCACAAAATCTACCTGTTGATCCTTCCAGAAAACGTGTGAGTTGATATTATTCTTTGATCCTTGCCTGGTGCATTGTTACATTGGTCCTAGTTATCTCTTAGGATTACAGAACACCCACTCCCCCCAATATGTTATGGAGATGGGAAGGGGGGGTGTTTATAGTATTGTGCTAGGGGGATAGAGCTGCTACTGCATAGATAGAGTATGATGAGTGAGCATTGTCACATAGGATAGGAAGTGTGTTACTGGCAGAATCACCAGGTGAAAATAAAGAGGAAAAAAAGGCCTTAAAATAAATTTA